TAAAATGCATAAGTAATTAGACCGACCAAACTCGTCCCTTCCTCGTTACCCGGCTGTTGCTTAACCTGCATCGGTGAAGAGCAGGTGGGGATTAGCACAAGATGATAAACGTGCTCACCACTATGCACATATATAATAATAACAGTTGGTATGGTTAGAGTATGAACATAAAGCAATCATTTGTCACGTCTCCAAATCACATCACATCATAACATATTACCCACGTGTACACATCTCTCATTAGCCAAGGATAGGGGATTCATTACCCTAACTCATGGGGGTACGTGCCACTGTAACGGACACGGCCTTTCATTAGGTCTTTACGGAGACTTGCCTCGCAAGGGCAACCGTACTGTAACTCGACGGGGACAACCGTACCGACGGCCGACATCGGCTCACGCCGATAGGCTACATGATATACATACATACTAAAATCATACCATCTCAACAAGAACACACATATATGGCATAGCAAGTTTTGAATAAGTAAACCCACCTGGAAATTGCCGTAGAATATTGCACACAATAGCAAGTACGTAGGATGAGGCTCGACTCCTCAAATACCTACATTTAAGCGAGATAATTTATCAATAATTTATCTCACTACTCAAACTTAACATAAAACCCATATTTAAAAAAATTAAGTCTTAAGGGTTTTAATCGGATTTTTCGTGGACTTGGAACTCCCTTATTTATTAAAAATAGGACTCGGAGAATTAATTTGGGAGTCTCGGGACTTATAAATATTTTTCTCAAATTTTATCATATTTAAAAATATTTTTTTTTAAATTTAAATCGGTACGAAAAAGGGCTTCCGAAACTCAAAATAGGGAAAAAAGGTTAATTGGGCCGAACTGCTAACAAGCTGGCCCAAGGATGGCCAAACAGTTGGGCCTTATGCGGTTTGGGCCGCAGCTAAGGTTACTGGGCCTGAAACGGGCTGGGGAGACGCGGGCCGCGCGCGGGCTGACCTCGGGCCCTATGGCCCGCGCGCTCAAGCTGCTTCAGTAAAAAAAAAAAATTGGTTTCAATGCAAGGGCTGGGGTTCGAACTCTCGACCTCGAGCAAGATATAGCGCACGCAAGACCACTGCGCTACACACTATGTTGCGATATTTAATGGAAACGTTTTTTTTTTATAATTTGAAACGAAGCCTGCGAGTTTTGAAACAACAGAGGACCAAATTTTGCAGAACAGAGCTGGAACAATTTAACCAAAATTTGACAACTTCATATCCAACAGCAACCGGAATCGAGACTTATAAAATAATAAGTTTTCAGAGTTTTGAAAATATATTTCGAAACCGGGTTTTAAAAGTTTTGTTAACTAAACGACAAAAATAATACAAAACAAACGACGGGGGTACGAACGACCTAAAAAACAAGACGACGGCTCGAAATAACAAAACGAGACACCGAAATCACACGAATACGTAACAGCGACAACGAGACTCAATTAATACGATAACGAGAGTTCTGATAATCCACGAAAATTCACAAATACACGAAATATACGCTCGAACATACGAATCAACAAATAACAACAAACAAAGTTCCGATTTCAAATAAAGTTTCGGTAAACCGAACACGTCATATATATAACGTGTAATATATGAAAACGACCGTATTAATGAGAGGATTCGAATAAGTTACCTGGCTTCGGGAAACTACGAGTTATCGGACAGAAAACGGGCCCGACAGCGGGTCGGACGATCGGCTTCGGGACTCAGAATCTTCCAACACGATTCTAAGGGCTGCTGAACGGAAATTATGATGGCGAGTGAGGCTCTGTTGTTGATCGCTGGACGAAGGTACCACTCGGAGGTTGCCGCCGCTGGCAGTCGTCGCCGGAATTTGCGTGATGAACTCGCCGGTGGTCCCGCTTTTCTGGACGTTCACGGTGACCGGGAGAAGCTGCTAGGGGCGGTCGATATGATGGCGAGGAAGAGAGCAGCGACTCGTGGAGGAGCTGAAATGGTGGTTTCTCGCCGGTGACGATGGAGGTGCTGGCGGGATTGCAGGTTCTATATATATATATATATATATATTTTAACGAGTGCGAGAGAGAGAGATATGGAGAGCTGAGGGAGGAGATGAATGATCTCTCTGCTCGACTTGCAACTGATATAGGTGAAAGGGAGAGGGATAACGTGCGTTTGAATTCGCAATAAAATCGGAACAAAATTGTTAACGCACAGATAAGGTGGGACTCGGTCTCGCGCAGAGGAGGAGGAGAGATCTGTTCGGTAAATGCTTCTTAATGGGCCAGAAATCTTATCAAATGAGCAAAAATTTTTAAAAGAAATTGGTCTTAGGGAACTTAATTTCTCAATTGGCCCAAAAATAAATCAACAAACTTATGGGCTAGAAATAATTTTCAATTGGACCGGAAATAAACGCAATAACAAGAACTCCCGATCAGTGTAATTGACGACAAATAATAAGTTAATCCGGACTATCTATATTTATATTACATGAAATATATATATTTATATAATAATAGGCATTTAGAACAATTAGACATTTAATCACAAATAAATTATAATAATAATAATAATAATAATAATAATAATAATAATAATAATAATAATAATAATAATAATAATAATAATAACAATAATAATAACAATTATGCAAAATAAATAATCTTAATTATTCATGAACAAACGGGGCGTTACAGTCTACCCACCTTACAAAGAATTCCGTCCTCGGAATTCGAAAATAAACTAGAAAGCGATAAAATACAAAGGAGAACTCAGAACTCAAAGTTCGGATAACGCCTCCTAATCTCGGCCTCCTTTTCCCAAGTCGCCTCGGTCTCATCGTGTCGGCTCCACAGCACCTTCACCAAGCTCACTGCCCGGTTCCTCAGCTGATGGACCTTCCGATCCAGAATAGCTACCGGCACCTCCTCATAGGTAAGGTCTCGCTCGACCTGCAGTTCGCAGAAGTCCACCACATGATCAGGATTATGCACATACTTCCGGAGCATCGAGACATGGAATACGTCGTGCACACCCAACAAGTCTGGTGGTAAAGCCAGCCGATACGCTAAGTTCCTGACTCGGTCGAGGATCTCGAACGGCCCAATATAGCGAGGTTTTAGCTTCCCTTTCCTCCCGAAGCGAATCACACCTTGCATGGGTGAAACCTTCAGAAGGACATGATCTCCTACCGCATACTCATGCTCATGCCTCTCCCGGTCGGCATAGACCTTCTGCCTCTCCTGGGCGGACCTGATGGTCTTCCGGATCTCCTCAACAGTCGCAACAGTACTCTGAACAAAATCCGGTCCTGTAATCCTCCTCTCTCCAACCTCATCCCAATACAGAGGGGTCCGGACCTTACGTCCGTACAAAGCCTCATACGGGACCATCTTGATCGAAGAGTGGTAGCTGTTGTTGTAGGTCAGCTCGACTAGCGGAAGGGCGTACTCCCAAGTCAGGCTTCGGTCCAAGACCACAGCCCTCAAAATATCCTCCAAGTACTCAATCACACGCTCCGACTGACCATCCGTCTGGGGGTGAAAGGTTGTACTAAACTCCAACCTCGTCCCCATGGCTTGGTGCAACGTCCTCCAGAACTGAGATGTGAACTTGGCATCTCGATCCGAAACGATCTCCACGGGCACTCCATGAAGTTTAACAATGTCCTTGACGAACAATTCGGCGTAATCACTTGCCTTCATGGTCGTCCGGACTGGCAGAAAATGGGCAGACTTCGTAAGGCGATCCACTATCACCCAAATCGAATCATACCCGCTCCTCGACTTTGGCAGTCCCACTAAGAAATCCATGGTGATGCACTCCCACTTCCACCGGGGAACCTCAAGGGGCTGCAACAACCCTCTCGGTTTTTGGTGCTCAGCCTTCACTTGCTGACACACCAGGCACCCATCCACGAACTTCGCCACCTGCCTCTTCATGCCTCGCCACCAGAAAGATTTCCTCAGGTCCTGATACATCTTCGTGCTACTAGGATGGATGGTGTACGGGGCACTATGGGCCTCTCTCAAAATCTCCCTTCGCAGCTCCCACACCCTCGGAACACAAAGTCTACCCTCGAAGACTAAAGCCCCATCAGATGCGACTGCGAATCCACCAACTTTACCAGCTGCTGACAACTCCCTCATCCGGCACAAGAAACGGTCATTCAGTTGCTCGGTGATTATCCTCTCCCGAAGAGTCGGTCCCACCATCAAAGAGGCCAACACGCCCCTGGCTGTCGAAGTCGACTCCACTGCCTCTAACTGCAATCGCTCGAACTCCCGAAGAAAAACATCCTGCCTGGTAAACAAGCAAGATAGCTGGCCATAACTCCTCCGACTAAGGGCATCGGCTACTACATTAGCTTTCCCAGGGTGATAGCTAATGGTGCAGTCGTGGTCCTTGACCAGCTCCAACCACCTACGCTGCCTCATGTTCAGCTCCTTCTGAGTGAAAATGTACTTCAGGCTCTTGTTGTCGGTAAAGATCTCACACTTGCCTCCATAGAGATAGTGCCGCCAAATCTTCAAGGCGTGGACAACTGCAGCTAACTCGAGATCATGAGTGGGGTAGTTCTGCTCGTGAGGCTTCAGCTGCCTCAAAGCAGAGGCCACGACTTTCCCCTGCTGCATAAGGACACATCCCAAACCCATCTTCGAAGCATCACTATAGATGGTGAACTCCAAAGTAGGGTCGGGTATAGATAGGACAGGCGCGGTAGTGACTCTCCTCTTCAACTCCTGGAAACTCTTCTCGCACTGGGGACTCCAATCAAACCTCACGATCTTCTTCGTAAGGTTGGTTAGTGGCTGGGCTATCTTCGAGAAGCCCTCGATAAATCTCCTATAGTATCCTGCTAACCCCAGGAAACTACGAACATCCGCTGCGCTTCTCGGCGTATCCCACTTACTCACCGCATCAATCTTGCTGGGATCCACTTCAATGCCTCTCGCTGTCACAATGTGGCCAAGGAATGCCACGCGGTTCAGCTAGAATTCGCACTTCGAGAACTTAGCATACAACTTCTCGCGGCGAAGAGTCTCCAGCACAATCCTCAAATGCTCCTTGTGTTGATCGATATCTCGGGAATAGACCAGGATGTCGTCGATGAACACAATAACGAACTGGTCCAGGAAGGGGTGAAAGACCCTATTCATAAGGTCCATGAAAACGGCCGGGGCATTGCTGAGTCCGAAAGGCATGACTACGAACTCATAGTGGCCATAGCGGGTACGGAAAGCAGTCTTAGAAATATCCGACTCTCTGATCTTCAGTTGATGATAGCCAGAACGCAAGTCAATCTTTGAGAAGACGCTGGCTCCTCTCAGCTGATCGAAAAGGTCCTCAATACGGGGAAGGGGATACTTGTTCTTGACTGTAAGGGCATTCAACTCCCGGTAGTCAATGCACATACGCATAGATCCGTCTTTCTTCTTCACGAATAGGACAGGCGCACCCCACGGTGAGAAACTCGGACGATTAAAACCGAGCTTGAGCAACTCCTGGATCTGGGCCTTGAGCTCTTGAAGCTCCTTTGGCGCCATACGGTAGGGGGCCTTAGAAACGGGACCGGCTCCTGGAATTAGGTCAATGGTGAACTCCACCTGGCGGTCTGGCGGTCCTCCGGGTAAGTCATCAGGAAAAACGTCGAGGTACTCGCAAACAATAGATACTCTCTCGGGCACCCGCTCATCAACATCGTCGGATAACATGGAAACAAGATAGCCTTGACAGCTACCCTTGGAAAGGCTCTTCCTAGCTTGCATAGAAGAGATGACCCGAGGCACAGTCCTCGAACTCACCCCAAAGAACACAATAGGCTGATCGGAAACGGGATAGAGGGTGACTTCGCGCTGCTGGCACCGGATATTGGCTCGGTAACGGGTGAGCCAGTCCATGCCCAAGATCACGTCAAAGTCTCGCATTTCGATAACATACACATCGGCCTCCAGAACTCGACCACCAATGCAAATAGGAAGGTTGCGAACCACCGAATCAGAGATAATAGTTTTTCCCGAGGCTAGACTAACCTCGAGAGGATCACAAGCATGCACGGTGCCAATAGATAAAGCCTCCAAACAACGAGATGAGATAAATGAATGGGTAGCACCGGTATCACATAAGGCAAAAACAGGCACATAGGATATTGAAAGCATTCCGGACATGGTACCTGCATTGCGAGCGGCCTCATCATGGGTGATGGTGTAGACACGGGCCTGACCCCCAGCCCTCTGCTGGAACGGTGGGGGCTGCTGATGCTGTTGATGAGGTGGCGGTGGGGGAAGCTGCTGTTGCTGAGGATAGGGCGGCTGCTGCTGTTGCTGTCTCTTTGGCTCGCGGCAAACATTAGCATAGTGTCCCGGGCGGTTGCAATTGTAACAAGAGCGCTGGCTAGCTAGGCACTCACCGCTGTGGGATTTAACGCATTTCTGGCAGGCTTGGCCGGTCGAGGGTCGGTTGTCACGCCTATCAAAGCTTACTTTCTTACCCTTGCTTTTGTTCTTGAAGTCGGACTTCCTCTTACACGAGCTAGAGCCGGGCGACACGGTCGAGATGGGCTGAGCATACTGGATAGCCTGAGGAGGCTGAGAGGTAGGAGGGTAAGATGGAATGTGAACAACCGGGATGAGACAGCTCTCCACTTCCTGAGTTCGGCTCACGGTATCAGCATAGGACATCGGTTCTTGACTTCCCACCAACTCACGGATCCTCTGGTTGAGACCCTTGAGAAATTTTCGGGCCTTCTTAGCATCAGTGTTCACCGCATCACCCGCAAAAAGTCACATACGGGTGAATGTGCGGATGTACTCATCCACCGAGGAGCTGCCTTGCTGCAAGTGATAGAATTCGTGCTCCATTCTGTCCCAAAAGCTCTGGGGGAGGAACTTGTTGCGCACCATCGTCTTTATTTGCTCCCAAGTGAGAGCATGAAGCTCCGCCTCAGGCTTCCGGGCCCAAAGCTCAATCCACCAGTCTGAGGCATCTTCCTTCATTTGATATGCCGCAAGAGACACGCGCTGACGGTCGGGGAGGGGGAGTACAGCAAAGATTTTGTCCAGCTCCTTCATCCACTCAAGCACTGCTGTGGGGTTCTCAGTCCCCGTGAAAGTGGGTGCGTTCATCCTCTGAAACTGGACGATAAGCTGAGTGAGGTCCATGGCCAGAGGGGCCTGGTGCCGACGAGGCGGAGAAGGTTGCGGGGATGCCTTGCGGTTACGGTTGTTGTTGCGAGTATTCATACTTTTACATTGAATAAGCCGAACAAAGTTTAGCACAAAAACAAACAAAATAATCAATGCTGATAGGAGTCTAGAGTTCGCCAATAAACACTAGAGTTCGATTAAATCAAGGTGGATAGGTCCTAAGCCCCAAAAAAACAATTACACCACAAGTAGTTTCATTACCACATGTGTTCCATTTACATATCAAGTATTTTCATTAATATTCAAATCAAACATACCTTAAGCAGCGCTGAGTGACGGAGACGAGTGGTCACAATACAAGGTCTAAATACATAATCACATATAAAACCAGTCTACAGAAACGCAGACTGGCTCTGATACCAAACTGTAACATCCCACTTTGATTTTTACAGAAATTTCGAATTTTCCAAAAACTAGTATAAAATTTTTAAAATCATTTTCGAAAACTTAGTGGGTGTTAACTAACATTTTTCATATCCCAAGTCTTATCTGGGCCTACGGGGATTCATTACCCGGTTTTCACAATCGGTTTTCATTAACCAACATAAACACATGAAATAAATAACCAAACATCAATCCCAAAACGACAAAGGTTCATAAGCTTCAAAACCAACACACAAGGTTCGAAAATAATTTGCACAAAAACATGACGTGCAACAGAATTATTCAAGTTCAGCAGAAGTAATTAAAATGCATAAGTAATTAGACCGACCCAACTCGTCCCTTCCTCGTCACCCGGCTGTTGCTTAACCTGCATCGGTGAAGAGCAGGTGGGGATGAGCACAAGATGATAAACGTGCTCACCACTATGCACATATATAATAATAACAGTTGGTATGGTTAGAGTATGAACATAAAGCAATCATTTGTCACGTCTCCAAATCACATCACATCATAACATATTACCCACGTGTACACATCTCTCATTAGCCAAGGATAGGGGATTCATTACCCTAACTCATGGGGGTACGTGCCACTGTAACGGACATGGCCTTTCATTAGGTCTTTACGGAGACTTGCCTCGCAAGGGCAACCGTACCGTAACTCGACGGGGACAACCGTACCGACGGCCGACATCGGCTCACGCCGATAGGCTACATGATTTACATACATACTAAAATTATACCATCTCAACAAGAAAACACATATATGGCATAGCAAGTTTTGAATAAGTAAACCCACCTGGAAATTGCCGTAGAATATTGCACACAATAGCAAGTACGTAGGATGAGGCTCGACTCCTCAAATACCTACATTTAAGCGAGATAATTTATCAATAATTTATCTCACTACTCAAACTTAACATAAAACCCATACTTAATAAAAATTAAGTCTTAAGGGTTTTAATCGGATTTTTCGTGGACTTGGAACTCCCTTATTTATTAAAAATAGGACTCGGAGAATTAATTTGGAATCTCGGGACTTATAAATATTTTTCTCAAATTTTATAATTTTTAAAAATATTTTTTTTTTAAATTTAAATCAGTACGAAAAAGGGCTTCCGAAACTCAAAATAGGGCAAAAAGGTTAATTGGGCCGAGCTGCTAACAAGCTGGCCCAAGGATGGCAAAACAGTTGGGCCTTATGCGGTTTGGGCCGCAGCTAAGGTTACTGGGCCTGAAACGGGCTGGGAAGACGCGGGCCGCGCGCGGGCTGACCTCGGGCCCTATGGCCCGCGCGCTCAAGCTGCTTCAGTAAAAAAAAAAAAAAAATTGGTTTCAATGCAAGGGCTGGGGTTCGAACTCTCGACCTCGAGCAAGATATAGCGCACGCAAGACCACTGCGCTACACACTATGTTGCGATATTTAATGGAAACGTTTTTTTTTTATAAATTGAAACGAAGCCTGCGAATTTTGAAACAACAGAGGACCAAATTTTGCAGAACAGAGCTGGAACAATTAAACCAAAATTTGACAACTTCATATCCAACAGCAACCGGAATCGAGACTTATAAAATAATAAGTTTTCAGAGTTTTGAAAATATATTTCGAAACCGGGTTTTAAAAGTTTTGTTAACTAAACCACAAAAATAATACAAAACAAACGACGGGGGTACGAACGACCTAAACAACAAGACGACGGCTCGAAATAACAAAACGAGACACCGAAATCACACGAATACGTAACAGCGACAACGAGGCTCAATTAATACGATAACGAGAGTTCCGATAATCCACGAAAATTCACAAATACTCGAAATATACGCACGAACATACGAATCAACAAATAACAACAAACAAAGTTCGATTTCAAATAAAGTTTCGGTAAACCGAACACGTCATATATATAACGTGTAATATATGAAAACGACCGTATTAACGAGAGGATCCGAATAAGTTACCCGGCTTCGGGAAACTACGAGTTATCGGACAGGAAACGGGCCCGACAGCGGGTCGGACAATCGGCTTCGGGACTCAGAATCTTCCAACACGATTTTAAGGGCTGCTGAACGGAAATTATGATGGCGAGTGAGGCTCTGTTGTTGATCGCTGGACGAAGGTACCACTCGGAGGTTGCCGCCGCTGGCAGTCGTCGCCGGAATTTGCGTGATGAACTCGCCGGTGGTCCCGCTTTTCTGGACGTTCACGGTGACCGGGAGAAGCTGCTAGGGGCGATCGATATGATGGCGAGGAAGAGAGCAGCGACTCGTGGAGGAGCTGAAATGGTGGTTTCTCGCCGGTGACGATGGAGGTGCTGGCGGGATTGCAGGTTCTATATATTTTTTTTTTTTAACGAGTGCGAGAGAGAGAGATATGGAGAGCTGAGGGAGGAGATGAATGATCTCTCTGCTCGACTTGCAACTGATATAGGTGAAAGGGAGAGGGAGAACGTGCGTTTGAATTCGCAATAAAATTGGAACAAAATTGTTAACGCACAGATAAGGTGGGACTCGGTCTCGCGCAGAGGAGAATGAGAGATCTGTTCGGTAAATGCTTCTTAATGGGCCAGAAATCTTATCAAATGAGCCAAAATTTTTAAAAGAAATTGGGCTTAGGGAACTTAATTTCTCAATTGGCCCAAAAATATATCAACAAACT